AAAGAAATTAGGTAGTCACTATGCTTACAGTATTTTAAACAACATTTAGTTTTAATGTGTTATTCTAATTCCACTTTATTTCGATTTGCTAACGGAGAGTTACCTCTAAGGCTCTACATTTACAGTATGTTATGCCCACAAAACCCTTTGCTGTTTTGTCTGATTCCTTTTACACAGAGCAATAAGCACTTGCCAGTGGGGAAAAGAACTGCCCTGCTCTCCCCATCAGCACTGCAATCCCGCTGCCACCTCTACGTCTGGAGCCTTCTCCCTTACACATACATTATTAAAATCACATTCCTGACCTCTCACCCAGCAAGTGGGTCATGGAGCATATTCTGCAGTGATATTAGAGTACCAGGTACTACCCAAATATGATTTATAGGATTGCTAGTGTTTGTAACGAAAAGTTTAGCAGGTGGATAAGGCTTTGTCTTCTTTATAAAAACACGCGATTTTATAGATTGATTAGGTATGTTCTTCTCCGATATCTCTAATATTAAAGCTAAGAGTCACTTTGATTCATCCTTGAAGAGAAATCTCCCTCACAAGCAAATCCACATACTTTCAACAGTTGTGTTGCAAAATATTTGAGACAGTCCAGATGCCTACAGCACAGTATTAAGCGAAAAGAGAACATCTGCAAACAGAAATTTATCCACAAAATGCTTTCCATTTTCTGATTGATTATTCTCTTTGAACTCTATATTAGCGTATGGTTTGGGGTAAATTGCATTCCTGGTTTTATTTGTGTGAGGTCCCTGCCTAGGAAACCACAGAAAACACTTTCAAGAATATTTTCAAAGGCTGGCAGGACACACAATCATCACCTTAGCACTATTCCTGGCAGAACACTGCACTTGTTTATTCATGTCAGCTCAGTTTATGTATGGCATCCTCCCACAGTGACAAGAATTGAGGTCCGTGGGAGTCGTGATGCCAACTTCAACAAAGTCAGCTTAAGATTTTCTCTGCACATGGAAACGAATAGGCAAATAGCTACTGAGGTGCTGACGCCCCTTCTCCTGATTTCTGCGTCTTGGATGGTGTTGTCTTAACCCTGGGTTAAGCCAACTGCTTTCACACTAATAGACTGCCATGGCAAGGAAAATCTTACCGTACAGCTCAAGCAACTGCTAGTCCTTCGTTCAACAATGGGCTTGCTAACTTGACCTGCACGTACCATCCAATTTCCCATGAAGTTTTAGCAAAATAAGCACATTTGTTGCCACCTTCAACACAATAGCCTTCCTTGATACAGGTACAACAGGTACCTCTTTTCAGCTGAGTCCCATACACAAGACCTAAATTTCTTCACTGTAAGAACTGTGTATGAAAAACTGTGTTGGGAACCATTGATCTGTATTCACAGACATTTCCAGTAGCAGTAAATAATACTCTATGACTCTGCTCCTAATATGTATAGCCATACATTAAGCATGTAGAATTCCAAATTTCTAAGAAAAACTAGAACATTAGTAGCTCCAATGACTACTATAATAAACACAATAAATGACAAAATATTTAATTTAAATTTATTCTTAAGCCTTTTTTAGAATATTGGATTCTGTAATTAGATTAAAGTCTTAGCTTTTAGAATATTTCCAACTTATAGCTTAAGGAAATCACTAGAATTTTCAGAAGTCCACAGTGAGTTTCAGAACTGACTTGGGAGCTTGAGTCAATAGGACTTTCTGTATCAGAAATAGTGTGGCCAGCAGGACTAGGGAAGTGATTGTGCCCCTGTACTCATCGCTGATAAGGCTGCACCTCTAATACTGCATTCAGTTTTGGGCCCCTCACTACAAGAAGGCCATTGAGTTGCTGAAGCATGTCTAGAGAAGGGCAACGAAGCTGGTGAGGGGTCTGGAGAACAAGTCTTACGGGGAGCGGCTGAGGGAACTGGGGTGGTTTAGTCTGGAGAAAAGGAGGCTCAGGAGAAACCTTATCGCTCTCTACAACTACCTGAAAGGAGGTTGTGGTGAGGTGGATGTTGGTCTCCCAAGTAACTAGCGATAGAACGAGAGGAAATGGCCTCAAATCGCGCCAGAGGACCTTTAGACTAGATATTAGGAAAAATTTCTTTACTGAGAGTGTGGTCAAACATTGAAACAGGCTGCCCAGGGAGGTGGTGGAGTCACCATCACTGGAAGTATTCAAAAAATGTGTAGATGTGGCACTTCAGGACATAGTTTAGTGGGCATGGTGGTGTTGGGTTGGTGGTTGGACTTGATGATCTTAATGGTCTTTTCCAACCCTAATGATTCTGTGACTCTGTGACTTTAGGTTGCATACACGTTTTTTCTCTTTTTTACCATCATCTCTACTGTACAGTAGCAACATGGGTATTACGATTATTATCGTAATACGCTGTTTACCATCATCTCTACTGTACAGTAGCAACACAGGTATTACGATTATTATCGTAATACGCTTATTATAACCATGATACCCTGGTGATTCCTACTTGGGTTTAGTTAAATGTCAGTTATGCCTATTAAAAACAGTGCCCTACTCTTCCTGAGACTGGGTGACTCTTCCCATCTACCTGCCACCTGTTCAAACCATGGCTGAACTACTGATTTACATCAGTGAACCAAGACACACTTCAGTTATATCAGAAAGCACAGTCTCCCCTATGTTATATCCAAGCCCTGATTTTTCTGTAATGGCAAAGTTAAAAACTTTTATTTTCTGTTGGTACAACTACATTAATGGCAGCAAAAGGACCAGACAGAGTATCAGTCCTGAAACATGTGTTTAGAGCTTGCTATGGTTTCTAAAAAGAGCCAGCTACTTTTAAAAGTAAATGTTGAAGTAATTCTGTCTACATCAGCACTCAGAATTCAAAGATAATTGAGAAATGCAGAGAGGAAGACATAAAATTGTATTTGGTATGCAAGGTGAAATGTTGCTTTTACCCTACTGTAGATATTGCTATACGAAGTCTCCACGTACCTGAAATGAGTCATTTTTTAAAGGATCAGTTTTGTGACATTCTATTACTATCTTGCAAACACATCATATAAACACAATAAGAGCTAAGCTGTTTTCCTGATCATGTAGTCTGTAATTAAGACTTAAAAGCTATGTTTACTGACTGATTTTGAAGGTGGTAGTTCACAAGACTTAATTCTCTATTTTTGACTACGTTAGAGTTGACTCTTCACCTTCCTATACTACTTGCAGCAAAATCTAGTGCAGTCTTGCAGAAGAATTGGGAATGAATTCTTTATGAACATACAGCTCCCAGTTATCTGCACAACTTAGATTACATCACTATGCCATGGAGCAGAGGCACACACAGCTGCCTTTGTGCAGAGCCTGTTTGATTCTTGCTAGGGTTATAAATTCAACATGGGACAGGTGCACTGCTTCCAGTGTCTGCTCAGGTCAGAAATCAGTTCAACTGTTCTTCCGTGATCTTTAGCACATGGTATTAAATACCTAAACACAGTGAACTCGGTTCTGTGAGCTGAGTTTAATGCTTACAGGTGTCAGTATAGGTCTTATTGTAGCTGGTGCTAACAAGTCTTGCTGGAGACACTCTGCTTCCATTCTCACATTCCTTACTAAATGTGATCCACTCCCTAACTGTCTCTGGTTTGAGAGAGTCTACTACAGTTTCAAAATGCCAGTATAAGCCCCAATAAAGAAAGACCCTTAGAGAATTTTATGTTCTACTGAGACATTCAAGAGCAAATAAAATACTTCCAGAGGACTGGATTAATTTTTCTACGGCATATTAATATGAATTTACCATATAGAACAGACCAACTACAGAACCGTGCCAGCTTGGGCAGTATACAAAAAATAAAGGGGATGTTCTCACTGATTAATTTAACCTCCCACTGAAGCCATGTACCTTCTGGCATTGACCTAAGCTAAAGGGCTCATTGGGCAAAACACAAATTTTATATGGATGAAGTCTTACTTCCAAAATAAACATTGATTTATTTTTTTGTTTTGTTTACAAAGAGATTGTACATTTTTAGAGCTATTTTTAAAGGTTCCTTCACAAATTGAAAAGTTTAACCACAATATCCGCTCCACCCAATAGCCCTCAAGATAAACACCCCACAAACAGCTCACTGTTCTTTGTATTCCTAGTGTGACAGGTGGTAAATCCATTTTTGAGATATTATACCAACATCTTTTCCCCATCTACCTGCAGTTTTCTTTAACAGAAGACCAAAAGACAGAGGCTTATGAAGGTATACTCTTTTCTCTCAAAATGTTTACTTAGGTATGACTTTAAAATACCAATCTGCTATGAAGATGTGTGCCAATATATGACAGAAAAATGCACCTCTCTCCCTCCTCATAACTCTCTCGAGGTGTATAGAGAGAAGCTAGTTACGTTTTAACATTGACCAGTGCTGTCAACAAGTGAGGCCAGGCACGATCTCATGTTCCTACCCTATTCCCAGTGAAAAGTCTTGTATGGAAAGATACCTTTTCCTTTAAAAAAATGCAAACACAACACAGGATGCAATGACAAACATCTCAATGCTGTATTTTATCAACATGCTTCAATCTTATACTTGAGAGGATCACTTGTGAAGACAGAAGAAAGGTAACTGTGTATGATGATTTAATTGTTGAGCTTCCTGTCAAGAACATCAGCAAAGATGAAAAAGATGTGATTCTCTTTCAAAAAGTATATACATCTTCTTGGAATTACATACAAATTTTCAGGAACATAAATGGACAATTCTAAATATCTACTCTGACACAGTGGAATAGCCTGATAATCAACAACACTTTGTATGTGTTAAAACCATACCAGATTGCTACATCTTACTGTAGAGAACATGATAGACTGTATTAAATCCATTAAATCTATCATAAATCATAAGTTCAAATAAATTCTCTTACACTCTTGTAATACGGAATCTTTCTACCAGTATTATCCACAAATTTTCTGCATGCCTATTTCATAGGTCCTTTGGCTTATTACTGTCTTAGCTGTAGCAACAGAAATATTTTTTTGATGCATGACCGCCATCTTTTGGACTGCTACTAACACTACAATTTTCCAAACCAGGGGGTTGAAATGCTGCCTTCACACATTTCATGCTTGCTCTTCAACAATTTCCAGAAGCAATAAACTTATCCTACACTTATTATCTATTTGATGTTCAGATATACACTTGTGTCTTACATAATATGGGAATTTATTAAGCATTTGTTATTGAAACACATTTTTTAAAATATTTTCCCTTTATCTTGGAATATGCATCATAAAACATTAAAGCCCATATTTCAAGTGTAAGCACAGGGTTACATGCAAACGTTCCTGAACATGCTGACCGTAGCAGTGAAGTCTCAGGGAGCTGTATACTACTAGAACTTCTTCCTTTCCCTGCTGTCTTTTAGCTACAAGGTCATTGAAAATAAATCCCCCCAACTTAGGCATTACAACTTGTGTTGCATTTAGCTGTGCCTAGGAAAAATATTAGGGACTGTGTATTAGAGGAGCATGTTGTACAAGTTTGTATTCATCCACAGGAATATGCGTGCACTTACACACATGTATTTGTCTTTATGCTCAATCCCCTGGTCTAGAGAACCAAACATATAATCAAACATGCAACCTGCTCAGAACAAGCAGTACTGAATGACTATGGAATTGTATAACCTAAGCAAGAAGGAAAGAAATAATGCATTTTATCTCTTTCTCTATGAAAAGTCATTAAGTACAGAATTGCCCATTTCACCTCTGTCTGTAGGATAGCAGCTCTTTGCTCTTTAGCTGTAAGAGACTCCTTCAGAACTTCAATATGTTGCTTGCTGTCAGAGAACTGATTTGTGAGGGTCTCCAGCTTTGTCTGCAAGGCCAGCAACTCAGTGTCTTTGCGTGACAGCTCCTGTTTCACCTGACCAATCTGAAAAAGAAAGAAAAGATGGGCGAAGGAAAAAATAATTTATAATGCCCTTACAAAAATAACTATAAATTTACATAACTACCAACAAACAGTATGATACTCTAAACTTATCTCATTTCTGTGAAGCCTTCAATTATTTTGAATGGAAGGCCAGAAAAATTTGTATGATGAGCAAAACATACAAGGAAAAAGAGGGGGGAGGAATAGCATAAATTTTTTCAAGAGAGGGTCTTTTTAACAGCCAGTCAGTTCTTGGTCATCTTTCAAAGGACTGACCAAAATCAGTTACTTAGCAGGGATAAGTTTTTAATGAAGATGAAACAGAACTGTAATGAGAAAGTACGTTTACCCTGTAGTATCAGAAAAGATGAGATACCTACAGGCCTTTCTCAGAAGCATGATGTTTGCTTTGAAATATCAAACCACTGAGTTTCCGTTCATCTCTCCTTCCATCAATCCAGCCTCATGCTTACAGACTATGTAAAGACACCTTTGCTTTTCCCACTATTTACAAAGCCAGCATTTCAATCTTCTAAGAAATACCTTCTTAATTTATGGGAGCTTCTTAAAGCAGATGAAAATATACATCAAAACAACATGAAAACTGTTTTAGGAATTGCACTTTTTGTTGAGAGCAATTTCCTAGATTTAATTTAGTGAATTAAATCAGTATGGAAATGACAATTTATTTTAACAACTGTAGGTTGCATTATCATTTAAAAAGATAAACAGTAAGAAATTTTAAAATTAAAACATTGAAATGACACGAAATCTCATTCTCAGTGCAATCATCACCTGGGAAAATTTTGATGTAAATATGAAGAAAAAAGAATTAATTAAAGAGGACAGGGAAGTCTAAAGATAGACTTATGTCCAAGTTTATAACCAACTTCCTGGTTTGCCTCTGACAAATCTCATAGAATAAAATAGCAAGTTTCCCTTTTTAAACTTGAACAATTTTGTTTATGACATTAAAAAAAAAATCCCTCGATCCCTAGAGAATGTTGTTCAATGATTGAAAACAGAAATTAAAGGACATCACAAACTAAAAGAATTGTCCAGGTAATTTTCCATTTTTGGGAGTGTGTCAAGAACAAAATTAAATTCATGATATAACCTAGAATTACTTTCTTTTTTTTTAATTGAATAAATGCATGTACTAGTAGAAATATCTGAGAGGAAAAGCTTGAGTAAATGTGGTTTTATCTTGACAACACTGTTTCACTGGGGAGCGGAAAAAGGAGAACATGTATCTTAAAAAATCTCACACAAACAAATTTTTTTTAATGGAATAATGGGGAGGAGTATAAGAAGAATTTAATTTATAGAACTATTCAATAGTTTATTGTTCACTTAATTCAAACATACTAGGTTGTTTTTTTCATATTTTTACTAACAGCAAGTATGTCCACAGAATGATTTCACCACCTATTTCAATTAGATACAAAAGCACTGATGGCAGCAGCACTATTTCTGTTGTCAGCTACTGGTCAATACAACCAGTTGCACAACAGTGCTAGGCACAGCAGAATAGCTGGGAAGATATGAACTATTTACTGCTAGTTATGCATTCTGGAGTATCTAAACAAAAATGTCTCCTTAAAAATTTCAGATGACACAGACTTTTTAAACTAGTTGGTAGCCTGAATTACACTAAAGCTTTCTTAAACCAGTTTCACCTTTCTTTGAAAAGGTAAATTATGTTTTGAGTCATCTCAGAATGCATGTGTACCCTGAATGCTTGTGTTTCGGTAAAATGCTCTCATCTAAACACAACCACATTTCATTACTTTAACATTCCCAAGTAGAACCATAAGATTATTTTCTCTGGAAATCCCCATTTCAGAGCTGTAAGCCCACGTTGCCAATGTGCTAAAGCTCTTTAGGGAATACCGCGCATACCCCTCCAAGTTGCAAGGGAAATTACGGCAGCATTAAGTGCTCACATCTCTCTTCTTGGTGAGACACTGTGATCACCCAGTAAATGCACTAATTTCACAGCAAAGGAATAACCTAAATTCATGCTGCTAAAATTAAACAATCAGTTTTAAAAAGCGTTCAGCATCCAGCTCTTGTTATTTTTTGTGAACCAATGTTAAGAGGGTTCACATGTTTTCAAATTATTTTTGTTCTACTAGGGAAAGCAAATCTATTTGAAAGTCTGGTCCCAAAATGGGTGCTGAATGCTTTTGAAAATCTGCTTCAATAGAGGAGAATAAGTTACTGCTAAGACAGCTCATACCATTAAAAAAACAGTAACAAAACAAATACAGATGTTCAGTTGCGGAGTGATGTTATGGACACCAAAACCATGTGAACAAAAAGGCAGTTACAAGGCCGAGCAGGCTGTTAGTTCTACTGTTATATCAAGTCGTAAAGAAAGTCAGAGAAGAAAAGCTACCCCAAAAGCCAGAGAGCTAGCAAGCCCCAGTGAATGGCCACTGCACACAAAAGATAAATCTTACTGCAGAGACCTCGGCCTGGAGACCAGCCACTCTTTTTTTCAGGTCCTCCCCTTGAGCCTCTTTGGCACTTAGCTCTTCCTTCAGTTGCTCTACCTGTCACGACATTGTTATGCTTTTAAATATTTATCATTTGTCAGCTTCTAGTTAGGCTGTTTCAATCCAAGCAACTAAAAGTGACAAAGAACTGAACAGAAGGATCAACAATGGTCACTCATTTTCTCTTCCATTCTTCCTTAAGTCTTCGCAAAAGTTTAATGTCTCTGTAATTTCATATAGGCTGCCAGACAAGAATTTGATTATGAAACAAAGATGTATAGTCATGGTTACGTTTATATATATCAAGTATGGGGCACTTCATGCAATGGTTTTGCAACTGGAATTCATGAGGAAATTAGGACAGGAAAAGAGACATTTTTCAGTTTAAGAGAAATAAAGTTAATTGTCAAGATACAGACACAGATGACTATATAATACAATACTGAAAAAATAAATGTTGTGCAATTACAAAACAAGGTAGGACAGCAAGATATCAAGATTGGAGCTGGCTATGAGTCATGAGCAAATAGTTATCAAAAAGGAGCAAATTTTCTGCAGGAAAATAAATAAGCAGACACAGTAGATGGAAGAGATCCGGAAACTGAGTAGCTGAAGAGATCTATAGGCCCACAGAGGGAGAGGAGAAGGGAAAATTGAATAGTTGCTAACAAGGGAAGAAGGAAAGAAGAAAGAAGAAAGAAGAAAGAAAGAAGAAAGAAGAAAGAAGAAAGGAGGGAAGGAAGAGGTGCTAAAATCATCTCTCCATTCCAAATTTGAAGGAGGTATCCTTCAATTCCTAGAAGGAACTCAGTGAGATAAAGGGCAAAAGTATAAAAGAACAGATGTGCTATCTTGAGGTAAATCATTGAGCTGGCATGAGGCAAGTGGAAGAAACACATACTTATTACATGTTTCTACTTTAGGGCAAGTAACACTTCTCAAAAAAACTTTCTCCAGCATTCTTTTTTTGAAAAATAATTTCAAGCAGGACAAATGCAGTTACAATTGTTCAGGACCTAGCAGAGTAATGTTCAACCTCTGTTGCAGGGTTTTGTACACTGCTTGCAGGGAGTACGCAAAAGCTAACTGACATTCCAAATTTGAAGGAGGTATCCTTCAATTCCTAGAAGGAACTCAGTGAGATAAAGGGCAAAAGTATAAAAGAACAGATGTGCTATCTTGAGGTAAATCATTGAGCTGGCATGAGGCAAGTGGAAGAAACACATACTTATTACATGTTTCTACTTTAGGGCAAGTAACACTTCTCAAAAAAACTTTCTCCAGCATTCTTTTTTTGAAAAATAATTTCAAGCAGGACAAATGCAGTTACAATTGTTCAGGACCTAGCAGAGTAATGTTCAACCTCTGTTGCAGGGTTTTGTACACTGCTTGCAGGGAGTACGCAAAAGCTAACTGAGAAGAACAGGACTGCTCACAATATACTTCAATTTACTGCACAAGGTGTCCCGAATCTTCATTAGAAAATGTTAGGGCCCGCTAAAAGACTGAGAAACACTTCTTTGGGAGAAACAAAGAATGAATTGACTTTCAGCTATTGACAATTCAGTAGTCAGTGTCCATCTTTATACCTGAGGATCAACACGTTTCACTGCTGTATTTGTCCTGTATTCCCAACAGCATAAATTAAGGCTGGCACCACCACTGTTGTAGATTCTACTCTCATTCTGACTCCACTACTGGAAGGAGAGTGTAATGGAAAGCCATTAAAGTGACAGTTCCTGCTCTTTTCAGCCTTTAGATAATAAAAAGATCTACTACTTATAGTACAACAGTGGCAAAAAGAAACACTCTTTTTTCAATAGACTACATTTGAAAAGACTCTAGACCAAATAAAACCCAACACTATAATGGATTAGCAGTGGTCTAAAGATAAACACAAAATCCTTCTGAAATGAAAAAAAGTTAGGTGCGACAGTAGGAGCAGAATTTGGGCCACTGACCTTACTGAACCATCGTTATTTTCAAATTTTAATTTAAAATTATCTTAAATATTTTTAAGAATACAAATAAAGTCTGTTTCCTAGCACTTGAATGGGAATCCAGACCATAACTCCTTACTGAAATATGAAAATTTCTCTCATCTGTTCACTAGGCTCAATTTATCTTACTACTGTAATTTGTTTTCTCAATACCTTATTTTTCATGAATTTGGAATGACTACGGTACACCTCCATTTGCTTCATTTCCTCTTCACGTTCCTCCGTGCTCAGAGCTCCATTTGACTTCAACATCTGAATCTCCTCTTCCAAATCCCGGAGGCCACGCTCCATGGAAGAAATTTTTGAATCCTGAAAAAGATTAGAAGACACAGATAAAGATACACAGTTAGATGATTTGTTAACATACCACAGGAGTAAAAAAAGGAAATAATTTGCTGGACATGTACCTGGCCTTGAAATTTACTCCTGAAGTAATTTACTCCTACAGAAATCAGTCTACATCTCTTTAGATAGCATCTGGCTGAGTGCTCAAGTACTCATTTTTCAATTTTTTATGCCTTTCAAGGAAAGCAAAGGTTTAGTTCTGAAAGAAAACATGGCTAGGGGCAGGGACACTATATATGATGAATAAACAAAGGAACGTGGAAAAAGGTTGCCTTGTAATGCGAAATACAGAGACGTTTAATTCTAACTGAATTAATGTAAAACGTGACAGCAAGAATGGCAAAAAAGGGGGCTTGTGCTACCAGTAATTTAAGTGGTGTCACAAATTGAGAATATAAAAAACACCATAAGGAAGGAAAAGATGCAATAATCTAGTTTTGAGTGGACAATCTAGTTTTTGGGTGGATAAGGCAGTAGAGGATCCTTCAAGTATTCTGGCTCATGTATGCAATGCACTAAAACATTTCCATGGTTGAAAAACATACACACAGGGGAAAACAAAAAAACAACAACAAAAAAATCAATCTACCATTATCCTCACAGTTTTACAGGACCATCAGAGGTTTTCAATTTACTTAGTTTACTGTTTCTTTAGAAGCCTTACATGTTAGGAATAACAAGAACAGATCCATACAACACACAGAGTTTCATGCATGCTCAGGAACATGGATATGTATTTATGAATTGTAATCTCTTAAAGCAGTCTATTTTTTTTATTTCCTTTCTCCAAAATATTTCATCTTTCCCAAAATACAGGTAGGATTTGAAACTATCCTCCATTCTTTTATAGACCAATCCTTCATAATTTTTGTGGTATCTGATAATCAAAGCACAGCTGAAAAAGAGCATGAAAGATTTTCACATACAGGTTTTCATTCATGAGTTAAGATTTTCTAAAGGACCATTATGAAGATCTAGTCAGATCTACTGCTTAATTTTTCATGCTTAAGTTAAAATTGGTAAAGCAGACTTCTGCAATAAAAAATTAGAGAGGTAGTAAGGTGAAGTGATATGTTGTAATTTACAACAGTATTTAGTTTCAGCACTCACATCATTTCCCAGAAATACCGGTGTTTCTCTTTTGATAATAAAGACAGCTTAATGTTACCAGATGGTCAATTAATTTTCATTACTATGGACGACAAAGATGACTAATAAAAGAAACACAGTAAATGAAAAAGATGCAAAACTACTATGGAAAACATTGAGATGGAATGGAAAGAGTTGGAAAGGAAAAAAAGAAGGAAAATAAAAGAAAAAATGACAGATAAAGAAAGAGGAAGAAAGGGAGGATACGAAAATAGAAGACAATAGTTTGCAAAGAGAGTTTCCAATTTTTTAACTGTATGCTTCCAAACCCTGCCTAATGTACTTTATGGACCACACAATATGAATATGGTTGCATAAAGCTTTGTAAACCACACAGTCCACTTGTGGCTCCTGAGCTCTTGGCAAATTACCATTGTTCCATTAGATACTTGAGTTAGTGGTTTAAGAATTCAATCACAAATTCATCTAGAAAAGTTAGGTTTACGATGACATATAGACATCTTTGTAGCTATATGACCCATTCTTTAAATGGGTTCTGAGTTTTCAAATTGCTAACTTAGCTGAGACACAGAACACAAAGCAGCATTTCAAATGATGATAATATAAAAAGAAAATAACCCACATCATCATAAAAACCTACTAATCCATCATTCCCATCCTTGCAATACAATGGACTCTTGGTTAACTGAAAGAAATCTGTATATGCTGCTGCAGGCAGACAGACAGAAGGCAGGTTTCTATTGTGTCATGAAGCAGCTCTGTCTCTTCCCTGATTAATAATAAATAATAAAATAATATAAAATAAATATATTCATTTTAAATTAGAAGACTGATGGAAGTATATGATATTTGGTAGAGTCACCTTTCATATGAAAACCCATTTTCCAGAGAACAAACTCTACTGCTGCCTATATGGAATCATTTACCTTCATCTCAATAACAGTTTGCAGAGCCTTTGTCTTGGCTGTATCAGGAGCATTTTCAAATCGACGATGAATCTCCTGTACCAGCAGAAAAGAAAGCAAGAGTTAGCCTAATGGCATTTTGTCCCACTTACCAAATACAATCAGAATTACTAGAACCTTCTCTTTCTAATACATACCATAATTCAATGCTGCTTTCTAATGTTACCAGTTCATACATTTTGTTTTATCATTTCTCATATCAAAGAAAGGATAGGCAAAAGTTCATTCGATGGAATCACAGCCTCAGTTAAAAGGCACCACAGAAACTGCATCTTTGACTACCTACTTACTCAAAATAAGCTGTTCAAATGACAGCTGAGTCTACTAAAAACCCCTATAATCTGCCTCCTAAACTAAACTATTACTACTAGTTTCTCACAGAAAACATACACATAATTTATTTGACTACTGAAAACAATAATGCTGTAGTTTCTGTTTCAACAAGCTATAGGGTACAGCTGCATTGATAATTCTCTTTTTCCAACTTTTTTACCCCAGAGTAGCAATGTTGAATTATGCATAATGAAAATCTTTCTCTGCTGGGCCTTGAACATAGCTGAAAGTACATGACTGGATAGCACATTGCTCTAGAAGCTGAGTACGCAGACAGGAGGACGCAAAACTCCATGTGATATTTCTGTTGATGTGAATTCACAGAACTAGCATGCTTCACACTACTTTCTAAGGAATAAAATGATAGAAAGCTGAAACAACTTGTTTCACCATATAAAGTAGTTAGGGCTTTCAAACCAACAAATGGGAATACAGGAGAAACAATATAGTATCTGTTCCACTTTTTCATTATTTGTCTTAAAATAATATTGTCCTTACATCACACATTAATGTCAAATGTAGGAATGTGAGTATTGTTAGAAATTTAGTATTACATGACATAAACATACTTTGATGCCCATAGAATATGAACTATCATATCAGTTACCTAACAATAAATTGTTTATGTGCATACATACATAGAGTTGAGCCACCCACTCCCCTTCAACACCTAAAAGACAAATCCAAAAAGCCATCCACAAACTCATATTTTCAATAAGACATGGTGAAGGGATAACATTTTGTATGGTAGTCATACATGCAACTTGCTCCATATGATTAATTATTTGAATGAGAAAAGTACAGTTGTATAGTGCTGCTTAAAAAACTGAAAACACTATTTGTCTTGTAAGATTGTTAAATATTCTTACAATAGCTGTGAAGTGAGCAAGATAGAAATGCTTAGTGATATGACAAGGGCCACAAGAAGAATTCTGCATAAATTTGGCACAAGGACATTTGCATAAATTGATGCCTGTGAATGGTAATAACAAGAAAATCCAGCAGAACGTTTGTCTGTCTTTAAATACTGTACTTGTGTATTTCCTGAGAAGCTATTTTTACAAGTATATTTTGTCAGGGTAGGGTAGTATTTTCTGAAAAAAATACCTCCTGAAAAAATAAATCAGAAAACCCCTCTAAATATATTTGTTTCTCCCATAGTCAACAGAAAACTTGAGAGCCTCTGGTCACGTATCACTGACATGACCAGAGTGGAGCAATATCATTATTATTGTTCTACTTACCTGTATCTTCATTCCCAAAACGGATTTACTCAAATCTAAACAGTCTAGCCAGCCTTTTCTTTTGGCCCAAGATCTCTTGTATCTGCCTGTAATGTACATATCCAAAGGAAGGGTGGTGTGCATTCCTCATCGCCAGCCTTCCACACTGTGGGTCTCTAGCACTCTTCCACTTTTCCATCTGCCCACAGGGCTAGGGGCACGCTGCTTTCTGTCTACAAACAGATATGGCTTCTACCTATTCAACAGGTTTTAAATCAATAAGGCAGCCACTTTATCTTGAATATGGTGATGTTAAATCTAAGGAGGGGGAACATACTACACAGAGATGCTCTTTCCAGGGGGTTGATCATAGGGGCATCTAGAGATTGCAGGCATTATCTGTGGGGTCACCTCCTTAGCAGAGCTGTAAGCTTCTTCAAAGCAGACAGCAGTCAGCCCAACCAACTGAACCTTTTTCTACAGTATCCTGTGCCCACTCTCAGAAGAAGTGTCAGCACACAAGATATCATCAGTACAAGCTGGACCAATATCCTCATGTCACTTTTATTACCTACTCCATCCTCAGTATTCTTCTTGAGACACACCAATGAAGCCACTTTTACAGTCTGTCTCCACTACTTACTATTCCAGTTGCCATCTCTACAGAGGTAATATTTTATTGAAATTGATTTGGTTATGCTGCTATACTTAATGTTAGAAAAGCAGCTCATCATGAGGTTCAATTTGCTTTAAAAATGTCATTTCAACTAAGCATAGGACAGTCTGCCACATCTCTGCCCGTAAGGAACTCAGAGCTTACCCTACTACCCTCAATCAAGGATCAGAGACAAAAATCATAGTGCTACATATTGCCTTGATAAGAACAAGTTATGATGAGCTTCTAACACTCAAGACCAATCTGAGCATTTAGAAATATGACGGGGAGCAGATCGAACACGCTCCACCTGTTTCTCAGTGCTCTTAACAGTACCTGTCATGAAAAACATGACTCCTCTTCAGTGTCCTTGGTCTTCCTCCATAAGGAATGATTTCAGCTGCCTTCCTTAAGATAGCTGTGGTATATTTTTCCGTGTTTCCACCTCAGCCAGCTCTAATGTGTTGATTCAAGAATTGCACCATAATTCAAAGATATTGTGGCTGTCAGTCCTTCTCATGAGCTCTGGATGGAGTGAGTTTCTGTCTTGCCACCAGCACAATGTTGTTACAGACACCTTTTCAGTATCTTAGCATGTATGACTCTAGCTAGACTGGAGCCTTCAGAAATTTTCAAAAGATGCTTTTGTACAACTCAAGTGACAGGAATGGCTTCCTCCTGATATCTCAATATCTGAAATTTGCAGAGTGGACACTAAAGAACTCCATTCATGCATTCACCATGCAGCATATTGGGAGAGGCATCCAGACACTCTACTGTCTTGGAATGGCAGGCCTGTATCTACGTGGCTGAAGTGTACAGCACTGCTTGTATAAGTACACAAACATCTGAATAAGAAAGAAACATGACTTCTGACTATCCCTCTGGAGAGGCTCATACATGTCGCACATTCTCCAGTCCCTTTCTGAATTCTCAGAGGAAATTCTGAGAAGTAGAATTCTTTGAGGCTGACAGGAACTGAGAGGTTAAGACACACACCATGTTGTGTGTCTTTTTTGTAAATTTGCATGTGGCACATTAAGTGAGGTGGTATTTGAGAATGCTCATTGTAGCACACATCCTATATTGCTGTAATACCAAATTATCCTGCTTGGCCATGAGAGCACCTACTAAGAATATACATATAAACAACACAACTCCAGGAATGTCATTTAACTCCTTTGAGAGCAAACTAGTAAAAACAGTCCACAGTTGAAGATGCAGCAGTCACGTTTTGGCAGCACACTCAAATTCATGTCCACTTAAAAGAAAGTTATATGGGACAGGAAGAAAAGAGGGTTTGAATACCCCAAATTCAGAATAATAAAAAAAAAAAGTTGCTTTTCCTAACTTCAAAACTCATGTATGGGAAAAAGGGAATAAATCTAGTTGAATCCTCTAGTTGAAGATGTCCCTGCTCACTGCAGGGGGTTGGACTAGGTGACCTTTAAAGGTCCCTTCCAACCCAAAGATTCTATGATTCTCTGATTCTTTAAGCTTAAAAAGGTGAAGAAAGATCCAAGAGTGAAAAGTATCCTATTCTAAATTGCATGAGCTTTTGCTAAATGCAGGAAGTTCTATCTCCAGCTATTCCTGTCACATCAGTTGTACAATCATACAAGGACTGTTACTGTAGAATAAATTGAAACAGCTTTATAATAGAAAATAAATTAAAACAAATTCTTGTGAACTTTTAGAAACTGAGAAAACAGAAGATAAGAAGGTCAAAAAATAATATGGCAAAAGTCTATTTTGAACAATGTATTATTTTTATTTTAGTAGTGCAATTACATACTAGATAATCTCCACTTGTGCAGAGACATGGTCTCTGACCTGAGAACATAAAAGCAACTACTACTATGGGAATGGAATAGATGGAATACACAGTAGGAGAACAGCAAGTCACTAAAGGGATGCTGACACAGCAGTGTCTGCTTTTTACATTGCACAGCATTTTCCCAAATACAAAATTCTTCTAAGCTTTTTCTTTAGAAATGGCCGTATGTCCACTGTCTGAAGTGATGCTTTGGACTTCGGCAACAGAAATGTCCTCCTTCTATCATCTTAAGTAATTCCACTGTGATTTGGATGACATAACCTGCTGAAAAACAACACCTACCACTTCTTGTCAGCATAGTAAGGACTTAATTCTGTCAACATGCTTACGATTGGAATTGATGATCTTGAAGATCCTTTCCAACCTTAGTGATTCTGTGATTCTGTGATTCTAAAGAGCCTGAAAACAGGGCTGCAGGCAGACTGAACCTTCCTAGAACAGAGATTCGAGTGTGGCTGCTGAAGGAAGGCGGTGCACAGATATCCTTCTCAATTGTGAAATACAGGTTACATACTTACCTTTCAGTGGCAGAATGGAGAAACACTATAATATCATATCTCTGATGTTTTCAGATTCTATTGTGGACACACACCACATAGATTAATTAAAATTAATATTTTTATCTTCAAAACAGGACTTTCCACAATAATTAAAAGCATAGGGTCAAAACACACAGATATCAGGATCAGGAAAATACAAAACTAATCCTTCATTCTTCGCAAGTTATTCATTCTAATATACTAATAAAGCATTATTCCTTTATTCTACTTACATACACAAATAACTTTCACATGCAACTGCTATTGTTCCATAACAGATTAGTAAGCTTCAGCATTTTCTTCCCTTTGAACATAAATTAAATTATTATAACCAGGGGTGGCTTTTATATATGTTTTATATTTTTATATGTTCAATGATTCCTTTATTTTAAAAAAGATAACAAAAAGGGGAAAAAAGCTACTTGTTCCCAAGTTATGTGCAACATGCA